TGCAGCTCCGTGGCACTGGTTTTGCCACCCCCACCATGTGCCTCTCACAGGAACTATACAGAGCTTCACAACCATATAGCCAAGTAGGTCTGGTAGCCCCACTGAAGGATGAATTTAATTGAAACACTTGGTTGGTCAATGGTGGAACCCGTATTCTACCCTCGGTCTATCTTGCCTACCACCTTGCCAAACTGCTTCTGACTACCCACTTGACGTGAGAGCTCATTCTCTATTTTACACATCAGCACTTCATTCTATTCTGCCTTGTAACATTCACTGATTCACATGACCCATCTTAAATAAATCAGTGACGCTCAATATTTAGAAGACATTTAGAAACACCTAAGTGCTTATTTCAAATATGTATTCTTGTGGTGTCCCTCCCAACCTTTAAGATTATGATTGAACGAATCTGTGGTAGAGCCAAGGAATCTGCATTGTAACAATTTCCCTCCCTTCCCCACCCTCATCATACTAGTTCAAGTTTCTTTATGAGAAATACTGAATTACACTAAGTTCCTTGAGGGACAGACCACTGTATATTAAGCATGGACTAGAGTAGATATTTAGTAAATACTTACTGATGTATTTTTTATTTCAACTGTCATTTTTATTGGTAGATTATTATAGATACAGTGCTTTCAGCTACACATAACACAAACTCCAACCAAAATGGATGATTAGCTCACATTTTTATAAATCTACAGTTTGGTTAATTTAGAGGCCTAACATCATCAAGTAGGTGTTTCCTATCCTTCCTCCCTGCCATCCTATTCTCCCTCATGATCACAAGATGGCTTCAGCAGCTCCAGACATCACATACAGATGTGACAACATCCAGCAAACAAGTGGGAAGTTTCTTCTTATGTATCTCTTCTTGAAAGCAAAGAAACCTTACCCAGAAACCCCACAAGAGGTTTCCCCTTTCACTGGACTGGCTAGAATTGCTCCACATGCTTCTACTTAAACCACTTGCATCTCAACCCAGAAGGAGACCACCATGATTCACATGCCCTGCTGAAGGACATGGCGGATGGGAGGATGAACCAAATCAGGCAGAAGCAGCGGGAGTTGGCAGGGTGGCTACGAGGAGTTAACCAACAATGTGGGCCACACTGGGAACACCTAAGAGTACACAAATACGCAATTTTGAGAGGAATGCAGCATCATTCACAAGTGTCTGTATGGGGTGGAAGTCTAGGGACCAAGCATTCTTTTACTGGCACATGCAGGCTGCAGATTGTGGAGAGGCCAGAAAAAGCACTCGCTCAAGGAAGATTGCAAGTAAATGTGCAGTCTGCCACTAGGCTATGTGTCACCATCAGCAGGGCCCAACACCCTCTTCCCTTCTGCCTGTGACTCACACAGCCCATCCAGGGGAGCACCACCAGCATGCTGGGGTTTTAGAGGAATGGATTTTACATATATATGAGGCTCCATTTGGTAATTTTCCAGAAGAACGTTTTTGAGCCAAATGAGTGGTAGAGGGAATTTAATGAAACCCTCAGCAAAGCCTTCTTTGTGCAGGGGAAAGGAAAGAGGAGCTTTACCTCGGCTGAGGCTGAGGCTACTTTATACTTCCCAAGAGAAGAAACTGTAAACCTTGAGGCTCTCCCAACCTGTACCGTATGGCACCATTCCCGCCCCACCCCCCCAATTTCCAACAGCTCAGCCTTAAGGGAACAAACAGTCCAGCTAGAGAAAACAGTCAGTCAACAAATATTTATTGACTACCTACTTCATGTCAGGCACCCTTCTCAGTGTTGGAGACCATGTAGAGAACAAGTTAGATAAAGCCCCTGCCCACAGGAAGCTTTTATTCTAGTGATGGAGGGCAGAAAACAACACGAGGAAGATAATTTTAGATAATGACAAATGCTGGGGAGAAGATGAAATGGGGTATGATGATAGAAAGTGACTGAGGAAGGGTGCCTGGGTGGCTCAGTTGGTTAAGCATCTGACCTTCGGCTCAGGTCATGATCCCCAGAGTCCTGGGATCTAGTCCCTCATCAGGCTCCTTGCTCAGTGGGGAGCCTGCTTCTCCCTCTGCCTGCCGCTCCCCCTGCTTGTGCCCTCTCTCTCCCTCTGACAAATAAATAATAAAAATAATTTTTAAAAAGGAAAGAATGAAAGTGACTGAGGAGAAGACTTGTCTGAGGAGGGGATACTGGATTTGAGATAAAAACAATGCGAAGGAGGCGACCATGAAGTGACTGCAGGGAAGGGCATTCCAAGCAGCAGGAACAGCAAGAGCCTAGGCTCTGGGTGAGGAACTAGTTTGGCATGTTTGCAGGACAGAAAGAAGATCCATGTGGTTGAATAAGAGTGAATGGATGGAAGAGTGGGAGGAGCTGAGGTTGGAAATGAGAGCAAGGATTTTATTCTCAGAGAATGGATAAGCCATTGGAGGATCTTAGACTTTTAGAAGACCACTCTGGCTGCTATGTAGAAGATGCACTTTTTGTTCACACCCAGAAGTAGAGGAGATAATAGTGGCCAGGACCAAGAAAGGAAGAAAGAACTCGGGAAAGAGTGGATCTGGAGCCTAGGGACACTTCTATGTGTCTATGTGTCATTTCTGCTGCCACTCTAACAGATCACATGAGTAGCATTAATCAAATTGTGTCCCCTGCTTCTGCTTATTATCTCTTGGAATTATAGGAATATAGGAGAGTTAAGCTTAACGTTTGATTTTGGAGTCACACTGATGAGTTTCAAATTTTGACCCTGACATATATGAATTGTGTGACCCTTTCTTCTGTCTGGTAAATTTCCTCATTCCAGTCTCCCAAATCACTAGTTCATCCTTCAGCTATTTCCTGTCATATTTATCCCATCTTTTTTCTTTACTTAGACTATTATAATTTTTATGCCTAATATTTCTACTTGTTTACTTTTTTATGTTTTCATTCTGCTAACATCTTTCCTTCTTCTATTGTTTACTAGCCTTTTTAAAAATGTCTTGTCAGGACACCCGGGTGGCTCAGTCCATTAAGCGTCTGACCTTTGGCTCAGGTCATGATCCCAGGGTCCTGAGATCGGTCCTGAGTGGGGCTCCCTGCTCAGCGGGGAGTCTGCTTCTCCCTCTCCCTCTGACTGCCACTCCTCCTGCTTGTGCTCTCTCTCTCTCACTCTAGCAAATAAATAAAATCTTTAAAAAAAATTAAAATATAAATAAAAAATGTCTTGTTGCATATATCTTACTATTTCTCTTACATGGGAATCTAACCCAGCAGATTATTTGTGAGCTAGTTGGTTTTGGAAAAGACTGTGCTCCTCAAATGTCTTGCTATTTTGGCCCATGATTTAATTTCCCTGGGGATTGTCAGCTTCAGTAAACTCAGGGGGCAGGGTGTGGATGAGCCCCAGGCACAGTAAAACCACAATCAACCACTCCTCATCTTACAAAATAACTTGCCCTGTCAGGTCTTCACCTGTGCTCCTTAGGAAGAAGTAACAGTAGGAGACCAGTTGCTTTTCCACCCCTGGGGCCTGTGAGTAGGACGGTGTAAAAACAAAGGCCCAAGGTCAGTTGCTCCCCAAGTTTTTTGTTACTGTTGTTTCAGGTTCTTACCAACGCAGGCCTTCTGCCTTGCCTGATCTGACTCTTGAGGACACTTAAACAAGAATCTGAAATTTCACAAAATTGAGCATTTGTCCCAAGGCTATCAAGGGGAAGAAGCAAAAGCAGAACTACACCAGTCTTTCTTCCCCATTTGACTCTCCCCCAGCCTCCCTGAGCTATCTCTTGCCCCAGGCCCGAGGAGCCATCTAGGTTGGCTTGCCTACGAAACAGGCTCTGCGATGGAGATTGGTGAACAGAAGGCTCACACGGAGTGCTCTGGGGTCACTGCCAGGAAGGGAAGGAAACAGAATTGGGAAGAAAGAAAAGTATCATGATACGATTCCACAGGGAGCTCTGAAGCTAGGACAGTCCTCCCAAGTTGTTCTGAGATAGAGCAAGCATGCCAAACCTTCATTCTCACACGTTGACCTATTGCTAAGTTCTAGCTGCCCCCAGGAAGTGGGCATAGCGCTGGGCAAAAGTTACTCTCTTCACCAAGGCTGTTTCCAGAGAAGCTGTTAGCTGAGGTCTGTCAAACTGGCAGCCCTCCCAACACTTGGGGAAATAAGCCCCTCCTTCCCGAAAAGGAAGTTGGGGGGCACATAATGGCACCCAATACACCATCCTACCGTACACATTCACCAGCTTAAAATAACCCCCACAGCACAAGGGTTTTTCACAGTTTTCTAAGTTTCCTTTCTAGATCCTCCAAGGTTTTGGGAGGGAGGAGGAAGCCAGCAGTCACGACAGGTCAGCATTTTGGTCAAGACCATAGTGAGCCCAGGAAATTTTACTCCTGAGAAACTGTGTAACTCATTTCCTTTCTTCAGAGAGTAGGTCACAAAAACAAGCAAAGTAAATTCAATAAAGGAGAAAAAAAAAAGGACGAAACAAAAGTAGCTTGTCCTTTAAGAAGCTTATCTGTGACGGGAAAGAGGAATATAATAATGCCAGTAGAGGCTATCGGGATCTTATATTTTTCTTTACCCTAATACTAACGAGCCCTAGCCTTTCGATTTCCTTTTCTAATTTACTGTGTTTACTTTTTCGCTGAACTTCTGATTCTTTTGTGAATCTCTGCCTTTGAGCTATCATTTCTCCCACCTTAGAAGGCAACACTCTCTTCAATCTGGAATTTTCAGGCATTAAATTTATATGGATCCAACTGGCTTGTTAGAATAGCGGGTAAAGTATGAAATGATTCCTGCTTAGGAAACGTGAAAAATGCATAACGTAAGACCAAGGCAGAAGTCAGATCTTCTTAGATGAGATGCAAACCAGGATTCTAACCAGCAGGGGCTTAGAATCCTCCCAAACTTCCAAACTTCTCACAGGGGAGACAAGACTGGAGTAGAAGTGAAGATGCAAGTTCTGCTTCTGGCTCCTCCTACTCATTCTTGTAACGCCCCTGGTGTTGTTTCTTTTTCCTGACCAGGGGTCATTCATTCCTTCCTGTGATTCCAAACACCCAGAGAAGTCAGCTAGAAGACAGACTGAACAACCAGGAGCGCACCATCACTTTCCTCCTTGAACAAGCCTTCCGCATCAAGGATGACATCTCTGCTTGTCTTCAGGGGACCCACGGCTTTCAAAAAGAGGAACTGCTTGCCAGGAAGCTACTGGAAAACCACATTCAGACCATCACCAGCATCGTCAAAAAACTCAGCCAAAATATTGAGGTAGTTCTTTATTATCCTTATGTGGTCATCATTGTTTGACAACAATTATCAACCACCAATATCATCTTTCAACTATAGAAATGAGACACTATGGCTTAAGTTTAAGTGATTACAACATGTTGCCCCAGAGGAAAACAGTTCAACTTTTCAACTGCTCATTTATGCCAAAGAGTAGAAGGAAATTCTATTCAAAAAGCATTTAGTGTCTATTCTGTGACAGCAGAGAGAATTGTTTAACAGTATGTCAGATACATTTTAATCTAAATCTCCAAGACTCTTTTCATGTAATCATCAAAAAATCTTAGTGAACTTTTAGAAGGTATTTTATTGGTATTTAGCACATAATGAATTGACCCCTAAAAAGTCAGTGCACTTCTCAAAGTGGTCAAAGGTGTTTCTAGGCATAATAGTGTCAAGAAAGTGACAAGAGGTTAGCGACTCAGTGCTTTTGAGATAATGACAAAATCAAATACAGCACGAGTGCTAAAATAAGATACCAATTTAAAAGTCAAAACTTGATAATTAAAAAGAAAATAGCATTCTCAGAAATATCAAAATGCTTCTAGAATGTTCTATATTTTGATCTGGGTGGCTGTTACATGGTTGATTATATTTGTCAAAATCCATCCAGATACACACTTTGATTTGTACCTTTTAATACATACTAATTGTACCTCAATAAAGTACTCTTCACATTAAGGGGGGAAAGTTTCCAGATCTCTAGAAATCTTGCTAAGAGTTTCTTTTCCTAGAATAATTGATTGTCGTACATTAGCTCTGAAAAAAGGACAAAACATTTTCTAAAAACTGTAAAATCTCAAAATATTTGCAATGCTGTTAAGGGGTTGAAATATATAGGGAAAATGGGGAGGACTGGTCTGTGTAGTAAACTGAATTAGAAAATATTTTAAAGTCTGTAGATAACATAGTTAAAACATTATCAAGAAGAAACTAATAGGCTACCTCTAGTAAATAACTAAGACTATAGAGTGCCAGGCACTTTACAGAGAAATAGATGCTACTTAAGTATTTTTTTAAAAACTTGAACTCATTAGCCAGGTCAGCCCTTGCCAATTGACCAGCAAGATGGGCTTGAGTGTGAGCTGAAGCTGGACTTGGGCTTTTGAAAGGAATGAAAAAAATTGTTTTTAATCAACCGTAATTGTAACACTTAAGTTGCTTATTCCTTTTCATAATCAAATTATGTTTTTCAAGCTGGCAGCTAATTACAAATTTTAAAATTAATTTAAACTCAAGAAATAATTTTACATAAAACATTGCTTTCTTGTGTTTTTCCCATCAACTTATAAAAGCAATATTTGTTCATTATAGATTATTGTGAAAACTTAGGAAAAAATGTTAAAACTTTGGGGGAAAAAATTCTCATAATTCCACCAACAAATGGCAATCTCTACAAACAGCCAGAGTTATTTCCCTCAAGTCCTTCCACATATTCCATTCAGGAGGCTGAGACTACATTTGTAAGCACAATCTTTAATATAAAATTATATCATAAACTCTCACATGTCATTAAAGGTTCTTTGCATGGTGCTTACACCATGATTTCCTAAATTATTATCTTAATATTAAAATATCTTTGTGCATAAATGTATGTCTGTATTTGGCTTCTTTCCATAGTATATATTCTTAGAAGTGGAACTCCAGGGTGTGAACACTGTAAAAGCTCTTGATGCATGTTGCCAAAATGGTTTCCAGAAAGTTTATACTTACTTACACTTCCATTAGCATTATATGAGAATGCTTTTTCACTGTGCCCATGACAGCATTGAGATTTGTTGTTTTAACTTTGCTAAATTGATGGGATAGAAATGAGATCTTTCTCTTTTTTTTCACTTTGTGAAAGTGACTGTAACCATTTGCATTTTCTCTGTCAATCATCTATTAGTGTCTTTTGCCAATTTATCTTTTGGAGTTTTAGTGCTTTTTAATTCTTATTGATTTGATGAGATTTTTTTATTAATTAAGGATAAGAGTTGGTGGTACCTTGGCAAATGTTTAACAACGAGCAGTCAAATATTTTCTGGAGGATAAAACTTGGTTTGTAGCGTTTGCCTATTTCCATGGTGTTAATACTCTCACTATGATTGATTTCAAACACCAAAACACCAAACACAAAGATGGGAAAAGATAGGCATAGTTGGCTTTCACCAACAAGTGCACGCTGATTGTAGCACAGAACTGAAATCCTTGGCAATAACGTTTGTTATAAACGTTTTTCCAGTTTGTTGTTTACACCTTAGCTATATTTACAATGTTTCTATCACGTTTTACATAAGGTTAAACATTCCAATATTTTGCTCTGAGATTTCTCTCATTAGTTTTAAGAATCGAAATGTCTTCATTTAGAACTAAAATAATCACCATTATTATCTGTTATTTTTATGGCTGAACTCTTTATTTATATTTTTAATCTACTTTTCTAAAATCTATATTGATGTATGTCATGAGGTAAGGATCTACACAGATTGTTTTCTGAATAAATAACCAGATGGGAGGGATGGGGTGGCTGGGTGATAGACATTGGGGAGGGTATGTGCTATGGTGAGTGCTGTGAATTGTGCAAGACTGTTGAATCACAGATCTGTACTTCTGAAACAAATAATGCAATATATGTTAAGGAAAAAAAAAAGAAGAAGATAGCAGGAGGGGAAGAATGAAGGGGAGTAAGTCGGAGGGGGAGACGAACCATGAGAGACGATGGACTCTGAAAAACAAACTGAGGGTTCTAGAGGGGAGGGGTTAGCCTGGTGATGGGTATTAGGGAGGGCACATTCTGCGTGGAGCACTGGGTGTTATGCACAAACAATGAATCATGGAACACTACAACAAAAACTAATGATGTAATGTATGGTGATTAACATAACAATAAAAAAATAACCAGAGATCCCAACACTATTTGTGAAATTCCTCCCCCAGTGATCTGTGAGCCTCAAGGATAGCGCCTTTCTTTCTTACATTTACCAAGACCTTCATTACATTACACTGATCTATTTAGGTATGCATATATATTTAGTTACATTGATGTATTTATCCTTGTCTCATATAATGTTTTAGTGTTTAGTAGGGCAATTTCCCTTTCATCACAATTCTTTACCAAAATAAAGCAAAACAACATCTATTCTATGGTCTGAATGTCTGTGTCTCTCCTCTCTCCCAAAAATTCGTATGTTGAGATCTCATGTCCAATGTGATAGTATTAGGAGGTGGGGTCTCATGAATAGGACTAGTGCCCTCCTAAAAAAGACCCCACAGATCTCCCTAGCCCCTCCAGCACGTGAGGACACAGAAAGAAGTAGGCAGTCTGCAACCCAGAAGAGGGCTCTCACCAGAACTGGACCATGCTAGTACCCTGACCTTGGAGTTTCAGCCTCCAGAACTGTGAGAAATAAATTTCTGTTCTTTAGTAGCTAATACCCTCCCTAATACCCAGTCTGTGGTGTGTTGTTAGAGCAGCCTGAATGGACTAAGACACCTACATGCATGCAAAAACAAATGAAAACAAGAAAACTCTAGCTAGTGTTCTTGACAGTTCTATGTTTTCAGTTACAATTTTATTTGCCCTTGGGTTGTCTCAATCTGCCAGTTTACAAATGAGAAAGATCCTGTATATGGTCTTTATTGAATTCCTATCATTCATTTGTTACAAAAATCCTTCTTTTCCTCAAAAAATTCATAAACATAAATTTAAACATAGTTCAGTCCTTGGTCAAATACAGGAACTAAAATGTTTCCCCAAATCATGAACTTGTCTTATACTCTCACTTTTGTATGAATAAATACAAATTATTTTATATATCTTCATTTTACATTAGAATTTGAATGTCAAGTAAGAAAGAAATTTTGTCTATGGATAAGCAGAATTTTTTTTCAATTTTTAAATTAATACTTACATATGAGTGTGAAAAAATTTTAAACTACTATTCTTGGAACCACCAACCTAGTAGAGTAAGATGGTCAGCTCTATTTCAGAATACCAAGAACTACTAAAGACATGACTAAGGATACTTGAGGGCAAAATCTGAACACACTTCAAGCCATGACTCTGTCGTGTTCTCTAAAAAACCGAGAAAATAAACCTTTTTCACTCCATGTGAGTGAAACAGTCTGATTCAGATTTGCTTATGTTAGTGATATTAGCTTCACTGTGCTTCTGAGTCAATCCGTGAAGGGTCTTGCCTGATGCCATGTGAAGGATCCCTTTTTCTAAATCTACCACCAATTCTGAAATAGGTTTTTGTGAAAAGCTTGTATATCAGTGATGGCCAAATGGCAGCTCATGGCCATAACAGCACAATAAATATGTTTTATTTGGCCCATATTGTGTTTATAAAAGATTTTGACTAGGATGTCAATATTTAAAAACTGAAATAATTTAGGGGTGCCTGGGTGGCTCAGTCAGTTAAGCTTCCAACTCAGTTTTAGTTCAGGTCATAGTCTCAGGGTCAGGGGATCGGCCCCGCATTGGGCTCCACACTCAGCAGCGAGTCTGCTTGGGATTCTCTCTCTCCCTCTGCCCCTCCTCTCACTCCCTCATCTGAGCTTGTGCTCACTCCCTCTCTCTCTCTGAAATCTTTTTAAAAAATCAAAATATTGAGGGAGCCTGGGTGGCTCAGATGGTTAAGCGTCTGCCTTCTGCTCAGGTCATGATCTCAGGGTCCTGGGATCGAGTCCCACATCGGGCTCCTTGCTTGGCAGGGAGTCTGCTTCTCCCTCTCCCTCTACTTCTCCCCCTGCTCATGCTCTCTCTATCTCTCTGTCTCAAATGAACAAATAAAATTAAAAAAAAAAATCAAAATATTTAACATAAAATCTAGATTTCTGGCTTGTGTTGAAACCCCGTTGAGCCATTATTCCTATCTGGCAACAATCTGCTGGGATCAGGCCATCGCTGCCTCCCTCAGATAAGGCAGGGACTGCCTCTCTCTGACATAGGACTCTCTCCCTCCTTTACACTATTAGCCTAGTTAGGAAAGGCATTCAATTTGGTAGCCTCTGCTTTAAACTATATTTTCTTATCACGTGGGATGGGAAATTAATGGGAATTTTCACTCAAAATTACAGGTTTTGGAAGACCAAATAAGAGCTCGAGACCAGGTGGCCACAGGAACTAATTTTGCAGTACAGGAGCTAAACACCAAACACCTTCAAGGAGTTGGAGATCTTCGAGGAAGAGTAGCCAGGTGAGAAGAAGCATCTAACAGATAGTCAGTTCTTACTCACTGAATTCTCATTCCCAAATAAGTTCCATATAGTAGAAAAGTAGATATTGTCTTTACACGAGGCCAAACTGACGAGGTGGTAGTTGAGAAAGTGTATGATAGAATTTGAAAGCCTCATACCACCTGTGAGACTCAAGGGTTTTATAAAGACCCTTTATAGGTAATGTCCAGTTTGGTTCCATCTGAAAGTGACAAGAATCATTATTGTCTTTATAGTCTTGGACTGTCCAAATACCAACATCTTATGCAAAGTCACAGCCTCATAGCCACAAACAAAATCCCCAGATGTGTCAAATTCTAATGATTAAAACATTTAAAACATATAAAAATGACATCCAAAAGTCTAACAAAAGGGACTTACTACCTAATGGATAAAATTTTGAGTAACATCTTTCAAATGATATTTCTAAATCAAAAGAATTAATGTTATACAGGTTAGCAAAAATCTGTGAGTATTGACAATGGCAGGACTACTCCAGTAGGCATATCAAAGATCACTTGTGAATGCTGCTATAGACACCTTTGCAACTCTACATCTTCTGCCAGCACCTCTTTCCTCTCTCCTGGAATACCCAACCTCCATCTTGTTAATCTGCTCTGAAATGTTAATGACCAAACATGAATAGGTGATTAATACCTAGGACAAACTTCTCTTAGAGTATCTATCCATTCAACTCAACAACAACAAAATTGCATTAAGCTCTATGCTGTATACCAGGCAGTATGCTGGGATTCAGGGATTCAGCAACATGGTCCACTTCCAATTCCCCATGACCCCCGGTTTATGGTCTACCTGGGAAAACAAGCTCCAAATATAAGAAATGAGATGAACACTACAATGACAGCCTGTGGTGCCATGGGAATATCCAAATCAGATTGAGGCATAGGAAAGTCTTCCTGGAGGAGGTGACACTTGAGATGAGTTTTGAAGGATCCATAGCAGTTCGCTAGACAAGGAAGGATGGGAAATGCACTTCAGATAGGAAGAATAATATGTGCAAAAGAACAGAGGGATGAATTACTGTGACATGTTCAAGGGGTTACCTGTGAGAAGAGTGTTTTAGTTTTGGTATTTTGGGGTTTGCATTTAGGGAGAGATGGGAGATGGGGAGATGAAGCTCAAAGGTGGTCCAGATTGGAAGCTGAGGGATCTTGTGGGTCAAGGAAAAATGTTTGAACTTTACATAGAAGGTTATAAGTAACCATGGGAAGATTTTAAGTAAGGAGATGACATATTTAGTGATATTCTAGTAGTAGCTGAATTGCTGGGGTACACAAAGGAAACATGAAAATGAAAGGAAGCCTATTGCAGCAATCAAGGTGCCAAATGTCAAGGGCTTAAACTAAAGCACTAGACATGAAAGTCCAGAGCAGGTAACAGACATTAGGAAAACAGAATCTATAGAAATAATACCTATGTGTACACACACACAGATATGTAATTATATTATTTATAAATATATGTTTATGAGTCCAAAATATACAAAATTCTATATTTCATTATATCATATTTGATACACACAAAGGAAACTTTATAATATTTGGGTAAGTCATGAAGCAAGATAATAAAACACTAGCAAACCCACCATCAGACTTAGATTTGCCATAATTTTCCAAAGATAAATACCAAACATCTGTTTTGAATAAAACTTAGAATTTGGTTCCATTTGCTGGTGTGCTGATGATGCCTCAACTATTTATTTTTTCTGCAAACTGCTTACAAACCTACTCTTCTATTTTTGTAAATCCTGCCTTACATATAAGACAAAGTAACAGATTTAAATGAAACCAAGACATGAATGGAATAATATCAAGAACAAGATGTGCAACTCCTTTTGCTCTGCTCTAATTTACTTTTTTCCTTTTTGTCTCCTTTCTTAAAAATAAAAGTTATTTATAAAGTCTACAACATGATGATTTGATATATATATGCGCACTAAAATGATTATGACAGTCAAGCTAATGAATATATCTTCTCCTCATATAGGTACTATTTTATGTGTGTGATAAGAGCATCTGAAATCTACTTTTTTTTAGCATATTTCCATTCTTCAATACAACATTATTAACTATGATCGTCACAAGTGTACCTTAGGTCTCTAGGCATATTCGTCCTACCTAACTGTAACTTTGTAATCTTTGACCAACATTTCCCCATTTCCCCCACCTCCTCACCCTGGACAACCACCATTCTACTCTCTGCTTCTATGTATTTTACTTTTCCAGATTCTATATGAGATGATGAGGTTTTTTTTCTTTCTGTGTCTACCTTAATTAACTTAGCATAATGTCCTCTAGTTTTAGCCATGTATTTGCGAATGGCAATATGTCCTTTTTTTGAGTCTAAATTGTAATCAGAATCTGTGTGTGTGTGTATGTGTGTGTGTGTGTGTGTGTCACAATTTCTTTATCTTTTCATCTGTCAACAGACACTTAGGTTGTTTCCATTTTTTGGCTATTGTGAATATTGCTGCAATGAACGTGGGAGTGCAGATATTTCTTCCAAGTACTGATTTCATTTCCCTTGGATATATATCCAGAAGAGGGTTGCTGGATGATGTAATAGTTCTTTTTTCAGTTTTCTAAAGAACCTTCATCCTGTTTTCTACAACGGCTGTACCAATTTACATTCTTACCAATACTATACAAGGATTTTCTTTTCTCCACATACTAGTCACCATTTGTTATCTTTTTATTATTTTGATAATAGCCATCCTAACAGGTGTAAGATGATATCTCATTGTGGTTTTGATTTGCAGTTTCCTGTTGATCAGTGATGTTGAGTACCTTTTATTGTACCTGTTGGTCATTTGTATGTCATCTTTGGATAAATGTCTATTCAGGTCCTTTGTCTATTTTTTAATCTTGTGGTCATTTAAAGCTAACTCTTTATCTTCTATGGTCCCAAGGGACTTGCAAATGAGCCCCATCAGCTCTTAGAGCTGGGTGATTTGGAAGCCAGTCTCTCGAGTGGCTGTTTGGTCCAAACATTTCACTCCTCAGGGAGAAGCTGGGATTTGGGGTCCCCCCCAATTGTAAGGAAGGCCTTGTGCCAAGAATGGGGTTCACAGCATGAGTGTGTCTCAGCTTTTCCTACCCATTTCAATATTTTCTTAGTTGCCTGATATGTAGGAGTCTTTAAATTAGTTTCTGGATTTTTCTCAGAGGGAACTGATCTGTATGTAGCTGTTTATTTGGTGCGTCCAGAGGAGGAGAAACCAAGAACCTCCTATTCCTCCATTTTACTCTTCAATTGCTTAATTACCTTCCCCATGAATCTTAAGTAGTGATTTTAGGACAAGGTTTTATTTTTCCTTGAAATGTCTCCCTTTTATGAAAATTTCTTAAATCTATTTGTTAATCTGAGACAGAATCTGGCTAAAAGCCATGAGACTTAAACTCATTCTTCCTCTCCCATTTTGTGCATTTTTCCAGGCAAGTGACTAATGAACAAGTCGAGACCGAATTAATGACTGTTTTTCCACATATACTGACCTTCATTCCAATTAGTATTTTGGCGTAACTAAGATTAAGTTGATTATTTTAACATAATTCTTAGCAAACCTTTTACTGCTGCATAAATCAAACTCAGTATTTTAATAATGGCAATGTGCTTTGAATTTTGCACCTTATTCCCTACTCTGAAATAAGTGGCAGTTTAAAAGCAAGTACTTCCAATGAGGTGAGGTTCTCAAAGTTGTCTGGCTTGCTTCTGATACCCTCTCCTCTGTTTGGTAGATGATAGTCTAAGTGCAAATGAGGAAAAGCAAAGACGTAAAGAATACCCATAGGGAGGGCTATGATTTATAGTCTGCAGCAGTAGCCAGAGGAGGCCAAACTTCTAGCCACATTTGGTGATTTGGGACCCGAAGGCAGATTTGCTTATGAAAAAATAATAAATTGTGCTAATATGTGACTAAAAGCAAAAGTCATATCCTTTGGAGAAATAATAACGATATCATGGATATCGTCAACTTTTGAAAAGCTAAGAGTAGGAACTTCTGATTAAAGATAGTCAAATAAAAATATTTTCACGTCACTTCTCGCACCTGAGACATCTTAAAGCCAGTTAAAAATATAAGAAGGGAAACAAAAACTCCATCTTTAATATAACTTGGAAGTTGCCACAACTGCTAACCACAAACAGCATACGCTTATCAACTACTGTGATGTCTGGACTGATAAAGTCCTCCTCCGACCTCGAACATAATAATTTGCTCCAAATCAAGAGTCGTGATCCTAAAAGGCATAGGCCAAATAATTTGAATGGAGCAATATTACCTAGGGGCTCAGGTGGGAAATAGGAGAGATAGGAAATGGCCCTTTAGAGGTTCAGGTCAGTAACACAGAGCAGCTAGGGAGTGTAGCTGAGGATGCGATCACGTTATTGATCATCTCAAACTGACCTCCATGCTTGCAAATTCACACCTGAGAGCAATACTGATGTGTTACATGCAGAGGAAGTGGAGGAGGCCTATAGTATCACAACTGAGAACCTAGGACTTAATGATTGGCTGTGAAATAGTTTAGTTTTTGTCTAGTTTTTGAGGAGAAAATGGGAGATGTACCCCCCCACACACACACCCTGCCAGGCCTAAGGAAATAACAGATTTGATACCACAAGCCTAAGTGGAGGATGTGGTCTACTCCTCACCAAACACACACTTAACTATCTGCAGGTAGTCAGAATCATTCAAAGATGTAAGAGTGATAGTTGGAAGAATCTAGGCTGTGCATAAAAATCACCGCCAGCACCATCAGTAGACAGAGAAAAACATAAGGCTGCTGAACACACCTCAATAAGAAGAATTACCCAGAAAAACACAGGAAGAGTTCAAAGGTTCTCCTGGTTTCAAAGAAGTTAAGAACAAAAGAAAGAAAAGATTGCTGATTGATCAGTCACATGTAAATTTGCTTCTTCCCAAAGTCCCACTAAATCTACAGCAAAAATAATGTTTCTCTTTAAAACATACCCACAAAGACAGAGGATATCAGCATAGAAATCTTGGAACCTAGAAAACAGACAGACATGTGGAAGCTGACTTAGCAGACATAATAAAACCAATTTTAAATCTGTGAGGTAAGCTGAGAATGATGTGGTTTTACACCACAGAATTCTCAAAAGGCATAGGAGTTGGCCTCGCCAGGAACCTCTGAAACGGGGTAAAGACAGGCACCTGTGTCTGGGGAGAACTGAGAAAAGCAGGAAGAAGCAGAGCAAGGAGCCACTATAGTTTGTTATTAGCCTTTTAGTTTTTACTGACTTCTAAACTATAGCATGTTTTAGTTTCGTAAAATAAATATTATTTAAAATAAACAAACAAATAAATATTATTTTAAAAAATAAGAAATAAAAGGGCTTTCCCCCAAAAGAGATTATCACATAAAAGAATGAAAGAGATAAACTGGAATTGCTCAGGAATGAGGTGGAAATTTTACAGAGATTAAATATGCTTTGGAGGGGCGCCTTGGTGGCTCAGTCGTTAAGTGTCCGCCTTCGGCTCAGGTCATGATCCCAAGGTCCTGGGATCGAGCCCTGCATCGGGCTCCCTGCTCGGCAGGAAGCCTGCCTCTCCCTCTCCCACTCCCCCTGCTTGTGTTCCCTCTCTCACTGTCTCCCCCTCTCTCTGTCAAATAAGTAAATAAAATCTTTAAAAATAAATAAATAAATAAATAAATATGCTTTGGAAGCCCTCCAAATGCAATAAATACAACTACAAATAATAATAATTTATTTTTAAAAAAGCAAATATGAGCAAACTATAGAAAACGAAAAGAAAACGTTTTTCCCAATATAAAAATGGTTGTAGGGAAATGATATATACAGCAGACAAGTAAAACTCATTCAACAAAGACCCTATGGGACCTCCTCAAGAAGAAAGAGAACGAATTCTTCAGGAAAAAACTATGCGTGGGTATAAGAGAAGAAAACTTTCTTGAAACAAGAGTTGAATCTATAGATCAAGACTGTCATCCCAGAAAATAAGAACAATTAAATCAAGATATCCTGGTTGAAGTGACTGAACATCAGGAATAAAGAATCATTAGACAACCAGGTAGACAAAACAAATCCGCGTGTGGCATTAGGCTGGTGCTGTGTGTGTTCACGTGGGAAGGCAGGAAGCAATAAATGAAGCTGCTGATCGGGTAGGGGTGCTTCCTCAGTGCCAGGTACTGGCTAGCTCCTGTCTATTCATTCCTCCTTTCATCCCTAAATAACCCTTTCAAGCTAGAAAGTAGCAGATTCAAAGCCAGGTCACTGTGACACCAGAGACCAGTTCTTAACCATTAGTCTACAAGGCACAGACCAGCTGTCGCTGAAGGTGGAACGAGGAGGGCATTGGGTGAGGGGTGGCAGGGGGCGGTGGCAGCAGTCACTGTTTCTGTGTAACCTTTGGAGATCTTAATGTGGATTCACGTAAGAATATCCTAACTAACTGACAACAGAATTTGTTTTGTTTTTTAATTTTTTATTGTTATGTTAATCACCATACAGTACATCCTTAGCTTTTGATGTAGTGTTCCATGATTCACTGTTTGTGCATAACACCCAGTGCTCCATGCAGGACGTGCCCTCTTTAATACCCATCGCCAGGCTAACCCATCCCCCCACCCCCCTCCCCTCTAGAACCCTCAGTTTGTTTTTCCAGAATTTGTTTTGACAACGGTTTCTTTTTTTTTTTTTTTAATTTTTTATTTATTTATTTGACAGAGGGAGACAGCGAGAGAGGGAACACAAGCAGGGGGAGTGGGAGAGGGAGAAGCAGGCTTCCGGCTGAGCAGGGAGCCTGATGCGGGGCTCGATCCCAGGACGCTGGGATCGTGATCTGAGCCAAAGGCAGACGCTTAACGACTGAGCCACCCCGGCGCCCCTTGACAACGGTTTCTACCAAACGGCTTTTGCCCATGACTTTGGTGCGTTGCAAACTAGCTCCCATTTTTTTTATCAGATTAATTCCGAATTTTCTCTCCCAGCAGTCTCCCCACCCCCACGACAGTTCCCTGGTATCTCTTGAAGGGACTTCTCAGGCGAAATTGCCATCTTACTTACTTTTGGCTCAACTTTGGCACCAAAAATCTTAAGAAAAACAAATTCATTCCTAGATCCTAAAAAATATTGACAGCTATAAAACAAACAATATTTATAGCACTTAGCATGACAACATGAAAATGTGCTTCCTAATAAATATTGAGGACGGTCGAAAGAGTTATTTTATAAAATTACAAACTTCAAAGTGATCTCTGATAACTTTATATAAAAAACACAGTCCCTCAGCATTCTATATCCTATCTTTCATGCATACATGAGTGTATTGAAAGTTAAGACAATATGTAACCTGTTGTCTCCCAGGAGAAGCCTTGAGTGGTGATAGTGGGGTGGGGTTCGCTGACACACCAGGAAAATGGTTAATCTTCACCTCCAACCCCACTTCACTAGAGTTCCTTCCTTAAGATACCAGTGCAAATTTTGGGCCAAAATTTTATTCACATGTTAGTGTGAATTGTTTTTGTCCTAATATAAGACAACACTTGACTGAGACCACTCGAGCAACGGGAGTTTTGATTGGGGCTGAGAGGAGGGAAATTGTTTTTTGAAGATGGGTTGGAAGATGATGGCAACCTGGGACTCTTTGTAGCCAGAAGAGAATTGACAATCTTGGAGTCAACGAAAGAGACTAATCAGAGGAAAGTGGATTCAGAATGCAATATAGAACAGGAAAAATTTCGATTTTGCCTAACCATAGGCAGCAGGGATTATTCCCAAAACATTAAAATCTGTTGGAACTCCTATGACCGAATTAATATATCAGACTGAAAATCTAAAATTCTCCACATTTTCTCCCAATGTCTTTATCTACTTCAACCCAGTTCTTTGATTTTGGTCAATGTATCATTATCCAAAGTGGTTTCTCTCCCATCAGGAAAAAAAAAGAGAAAAATGAAGATTTCTACATTTGCTCCTATATCCACTAACTCATTATTCAAAGAACTTTAGAACTTTTGCCATCAGGTGAATGCTGTTTGCGCCTATTGATCTCACAACCAGTTTTCATCTTGCTACTAGATGTGACTCCAGCATTGTGAAGCTTTCTGGAGACATTCAGTTCATCGCGCACGAGCACCGGAAAACTGAAAAATCAATTCAAGATTTTATGTCTGCCCTAGAAACTGTTTCTAAGAACTTGGATGTGAAGGTAACTGAAAATATTTGGAACTCTTAAGTTACATGTTACTGACAGAAGATCATTATAGCTTATCAAAATGCCTAGTCAAGTGGTAATGTTTCAAAAGAACTCTTTTCTTCCAAAGAGTTTAAATATGACAGCTTGTGCATATATACCATAAGTACTGTCAGTTGAATGAGCAAATATTTTATGAGCACCACCTATGTTCCAACACAGCAACCCATTGCAAGCCTATGCTGCTTGATTCCACTGTTGCTGTTATTTCCTTATTCTCTGGGTTTTCCTCAAAGATTGTAGAACCAAAGATTATAAGCAAAACAATTTCTCATGGAAGCTATTATTATTAAAGATACAAGCTAGACGTGAGTTGATTATGTTACATCCCTACAATAGGTTATCTCTCACAAAAGAATACACAAATCCCCCATTGGCCTGGTTTTAAAGGCCATCTCCACACTGGCCCCTGCTTAGCTCTTCAGCTCACCCCATGTTTCCTGGCTCACCCCTCACACCTAGTGATACTGAACAACCTGCAGGTAGGTCCCTACTCACTCTAAGATACAGTATGGCCTCCATATTATTTGTGGTCTTTTCTGCCTAAAATGCCTCTCCTCTCTCATCTTCCCAGTCAATGGCTTAAGTAAAGGAGTTAATGCAAATTCTTCCCTGTCCTACTTTGTTACATTTATTTATTTATTTATTTATTTAAGAAAGAGTGTGCAAGCAGGAGGCAAGGGTAGTAGCAGAGGAAGAGGGAGAGAGAGAATCTTAAGCAGGCTTCACACTCAGTACAGACCCCAACGTGGGGCTCAGTCTCATGACCCTGTGATCATGACCTGAGCCGAAATCAAGAGTCGGACATTTAACCAACTGAGCCACCCAGGCACCCACTTTGTCACATATCTTATGTAATGATAAGCACATCTCTTCTTAAGTCATTTGGGCAGAACAAAGTGAAAATCCTTTGGGAGTTGGCGGGGGGAGATCAGTGTTTGATTATTTGCTCGTACAAGCCAGTTTATCAAGAGCAGAAGGTTCACAGGGGCACATAGTTTACTGCAGTCCCATTGGACTCACTTTGCCCACACCTACACACCCAACTAATTAAGTCCTAATATTAGGTTCTTTGGTTGATTTTCTTTGTTTTTCTTTGATTTCTTTGTTTTTCAAAATATTCAGTCATATCAACAACAAATCATAACCACTTAATCTTTGGTTTTCTGATGTAAAGCCTTAGTACTTTTTTCATAAGGCCATGACCAGAATGTCCCGGTCACTGTTAAATACAATGTACGGGTCATAAATGGTCATAATGGTCATAGAGGACAGCTTCTCTAGTTTCTGATTATACTGGAGATGTCTTTTGTTGTTTGCTGTTGGTTTGATATGTTTAACCATATTATGGAAGTATCCATCAGTTCCTACTTACTTCCATTAGTTTTTATTAGTATTTAGTTTTTAGTAGGACTGATTATTTAACTTTACAAGTTGCCTTGTAGACATCAACAAATGCCTAAATCATCATATTAGTTGTTTTCTGGTTTGGATTTTTATTTGTTCACTTTTTACCTCTTTGGACTTCTAATGTGCTATGTCAATACACTTCCCAATACTGAAACATTCCAGCATTTTCTGCTATACAGGCTTGTGTAATCATTCAGCATTTGTCTCTGCATCTAAGTTCAAAAGTGACATTGACTATAGTTCATCCTTAGTTTTTTTTAAGCTGATACATATGATATGTATCGTTCACAAATCAAAACTATATAAGAAAATGCAGGGGTGCCTGGGTGGCTCAGTCAGTTAAGCATCCGACTCTTGATTTCGGCTCAGGTCATAATCTCAGGATCGTGAGATTGAGCCCTGCATTGGGCTCCACGCTCAGCAAGGAGTCTGTTTGAGATTCTCCCTCTCTGTCCTGCTCCCTCTCCCTTCGCACCCCCCTCAAACCCTGGTGCACTCTCTCAAATAAATAAATAAATATTTTAAAAAGTATACACCAAGAATTTTCGAGCCCACTTCTGTCACCAATTATCACATTCTTTCATTTCCTCACTGAAACCATTTTTATTATGCTGTTGTGGATCCTTTCAGTATGCCTTTATACAGATACAAGCAAATGCATATATATTCTTATTTCCTCCTTTTTACAAAATAAATAGCATATTATATATATTACTATGCACCTATTTTAGTTTTTTTTTAATTTAATTTTACTCAGGTAACATACAATGCAATATTAGTTTCTGGAGTAGAGTTCAGTGATTCATCACTTACATACAATACCAAGTGCTCATCACAAAAAGTACCCTCCTTAATACCCTTCAGCCATCTATCCCTTCCTTCCCACCATCTCCCTCCATCAACCTATCATTAAGAGTCTCTTATGGTTTATTTTCCTCTCTCCCTCCCCTCCCTTCACATATGTTCATCTGTTTTCTTTCTTAAATTCCACATATGAGTGAAATCATATGATTTTTGTCTTTCTCTGACTGATTTATTTCACTTAGCATAATACACCCTAGCTGCATCCACATCATTGCAAATGGCAAGATTTCATTCTTTTTTATGGCTGAGTAATATTTCATTGAATGCATATATATATATATATATATATATTCACACTCAGATGTGAATGAAGATGTGATATATGTGTATATCACATCTTCTTTATCCATTCATCAGTTTCATCAGTTGATGGACATTTGGGCTCTTTCCATAGTTGCCTATTGTGGACATTGCTGCTATAAACATCAGGGTGCATGTACCCCTTCAAATCTGTATTTTTGTATCCTTTGGATAAATGCCTAATAGTGCAATTGCTGGGTCATTGGGTAGGTATTCTATTTTCAACTTTCTGAGGAACCTCCATACTGTTCTCAAGAGTGGCTGCACCAGTTGGCATTCCCACCAACAGTGTGAGAGGGTTCCCCTTACCTCTGCATCCTTGTCAACACCTGTTGTTTCTTATGTTGTTAATGTTAGCCATTCTGACAGGTGTGAGGTGGTATCTCATTGAGGTTTTGATTTGTATTTCCCTGATGCTGAGTGTTGTTGAGCATCTTCTCATGTGTCTGTTAAACATCTGATGTCTTCTTTGGAAAAGTGTCTATTCATGTCTTCTGCCCATTTCTTAACTGGATTATTTGGTTTTGAGGGCATTGAGTTTGATAAGCTCTTTATAGATTTTGGATATTAGCCTTTATCCAATATGTCATTTACAAATATCTTCTTCCATTCCATAGGCTGCCTTGTAGTTTTGTTGATTGTTTTCTTCACTGTGCAGAAGTTTTTTATCTTGATGAAGTCCCAATAGTTCATTTTTGCCTGTGTTTCCCTTGCTTCCGGCAACATGTCTAGTAAGAAGTTGCTACAGCCGAGGTCAAAGAGGTTTCTGCCTATTTTCTCCTTGAGGATTTTGATGCATTCCTGTCTCACATTTAGGTCTTTCATCCTATTTTTTCTAACTAAACAAATATATCCTGGAAATCAGCCATATTAGTACCTGGAGAGCTTCCTCATTCTTTTTTATAACTGCATACTCTTCCTGTCTGTATAACAGCTCATTTAACCAATCTCTCACAGATGGACATTTGGGCTATTTTTAATATTTCTCTCTTTCAAATCAATGTTGCAATGTATAACCTTGCACTTATGTCTTTGTGTGTGTGTGTGTGCATGTGTGTGCGTGTGTCTATGTACGTATGTTTGTAGGATCAACACCCAGAAGTGTGATTGCTGGGTCAAAGTACATGGTTGTTATTTTGAAAGATCTTGCTCTCTGTGGGGCTTTGACCATATTGCACAGCCACCAACAATATGTAAAATGTCCTATGTCCCCAGTGCCTCACCAAAGGTGTTGACTTTTGAATTTTACCATTCTTATAGGAAAAAGACAGCTATAGTCTCTATGTTTCACTAAGTCTCTCTTATTGTGAATGAGGTTCATATCTTCAAGAGCTATTTGTATTTTTTTCAGTGAGCTATCTGTTCATCTCTTTTATCCCTTTCCCTATTGGTCTGTTTTCCTTTTTCTTCTCAATTTCTAGGAGCTCTGTATATGTTAGGGAGATGAGCTCTTCTCTATGATATGATCTGCAAATACATTTTCCCAGGTTGTCATCTTTTGACTCTTGGCATGCTTGTGTGCTCTATTTGTAGCTAAATTTATCATTTTTCTCTTTTGTGGCTTCTTTTAAGTCACACTTAGAAAGAAATTCCCCATACAAATGCCTGAATTATTCATATTTTTTCCTAGCACTTTCATGGCTTTACTATTTATATTTAAATTCTTGATCCTTTTGGAGTTTTTCCTAATAAGGTGTCTTAATTATTATTTTAATCATTGAGGCCTTATAGTACTTTAATATTTTTAAATTTATTTCTTCATTTTAGAGAGAGAAGGGGAGAGAGAGCGTGCGTGTGAGTGGAGGGAAGGGCAGAGGGAGACAATCTGGAGCAGTCTTCCCGCTGAGCACAGAGTCCAATGCAGGGCTCAGTCTCACGACCCATCTGATCATGACCTGAACAGAAACCGAAAGTCGGACGCTTACCCAACAGAGCCACCCAGGTGCCCCAGTACTTTTAATACCTGGTACAGCAAGTCCCTTTCATTGCTTTCTTTTCTCCCTTTTCCTGGTGATAATTTTTTGTTTTTGCATATGATTTTAAAATCAGTCTGTATAGTCCCAGCAAATAAATCAACAAACTCAATTTTCTATTGAAATCATGTTAAATGTATAAATTAAGTTTAGAATTGACAGAGTAGGGGCGCCTGGGTGGCTCAGTCTGTTAAACGTCTGCCTTAGACTCAGGTCAAGATCCCAGAACCCTGGGATTGAGCCCTGCCTCTCCTCCTCTCCCTCTGCCGCTGCCTCTGCTTGTGCTCTCTCTCTCTCTCAAATAAATACATAAAATCCTTAGAACTGACAGAGTGGTAATGCTGAGTGTTTTATCCAAGAACATAGTGTGCTTCTTATTTGTGCAGGTTTGCTTTTATATCATTCAGG